ACTATAATTTAGGCCAAATAACGGGTATCATCCGTCTAACATCTGATGGTTCTAGCTATTATCTTTCTCTTAGCTCAGTTGACCAACAAAAATTTAACAAACAAATGGCCACCGACCTCTCTTATATAATTCCTGTTGATGTCAACAGAATTACACCTATAAACGGATTCGAAAAAGACATATCCACAGGGACCTTGCAAATATTACTTTTTTTTAACATTAAGGATACCACAGATTTATCAAGGAAGAGTGCATATAATATATCTCAAGATTTCAACACATTGTTGAAATATAAGAAATATAATGCTTTAATGAACTATAATACGACATCATTAATTGATGAGAATTATCCTATGACTATTGCCCGTAAGTTTACGGTTTTTTTTTCTGGTTTAGTTATTATTTCTTATATCACAATTTTAAAGTGCATTTCTTTTTACAAAGCATTTTTGAGAGAATATTTGGTGTTGATCATAATTATCATTGCTGCGTTAGTGGTCTTGGTCATATTATATCTTTTGGCTTCGTGGAAATTCAAAAAGGTATTTATATTTTATTTTCAAAATTTAAAATATTGAATCTATTAAAATCATAAATTATTTTATTATTAGGCTGATAATTTTGCAATATTCAAAACGATTATTATTGTTGTTGATTTGGGATTACGAATTTTATTTGTCATTAATGATGTTCATAAAGTTCCGGAGTTATGGTGGCCAAGGTTCATTATTACTATTTATCAGTATTCTTATTTAACTGTTAATACATTTTTACGTTTTGTGACTAATTTAACTTTTATACTATTTTTTTTACTGACCTCAGTTTGATAATTCTTGTAATTTCAACTTCTATAAACATAGTATCATCATTCTTGATTATTGTTCATGAAATTGGTAAAAATCTGAAATTTAGCACATGGTTCTCAGAATATGGCTTTCTTCTCCCATTTTTCACAATAATATCAGCGGGACACATTGAAGCATTGTATGCTTTGTCTTCAAGATTTGGAACGTTGAAAATATTCAGCACAACTTTCTCAAAAACTGCTGAAAATACAATATTTTGGGTTGGAATATTAGGTTTGATTTTTGGTATTCCACAATTCATAATTCAGGTTAGTACTTATTGAATAAAAATATGTAATTATTATTAATTTCGTACAATACTCTAATACTTTAACATTGGTTTTATTATTAAAAGATATTATTTAGATTAAGAACAATATCTTTCAATATTATTCCACAATTAGCCTTAGTATCTAATGCAACCATAATAGCATATAACATTCTTTCAGGGATTTATAAAGTGGTATTTAAGTGTTTATATAAGTAATATTATTCAAAGTTTGATAACTTAGATAAATAAAAAATAATCTTTCACTATCAGCAAGTTTGATAGTGGTTTTAAATTATTATCTTTACATACATTATTTACGTGTTTATTAATTAAAATCTTTATCTGAATTTATTATTTTTAATTAATTTTATTATTGTAAACACTGCGAATACGCTATAAGATCTCCAAATTCCTCCTAAATAAAGATTATATAAATTCACATTCTTTATTGCCTTATAAATCATAAATATTCGGACACCATAGTTTACTGCCAAATTCATGTGGCTTCCTAACATCAACTATAGGAGCTAGACCTGGCATGACAGTACTAAGCTCTCCCTTATGATGGTCACAGTAGTTATAACATACTGCTACTGTCATGTATGAGACAGTATTTTGATGTTTATGTTACTCCGAGATGGAACGAAACCAGATGAGAATACGTACCCTATTCTTTATCGCTACCAACTAGTGATGTGCCATTTATATGATACCTGAAAATTTTTAGCGTACAGTACGTATAGTTCTTTTATGGCATCTGATTGGCTGGAACAAGTGATCGGCAAGAATTTTAGCGTACAGTACGTACTGTACTGTACGTATATTACTGTACGCGGCACATCACTACTACCAACAAACCGTCATAAGACTCAAATTGGGTTTATTGCGATTTATTTAGATACATGAATTAGGTTTATTTTAATTAATATTTTATTTAGTGTATCAAATTCACTCGGTTCCGATCAACTCACCAACAATTATTTCACAGACAACTTAGTTTGCTGATAATTAAATTACAGGCAAGGTCAGTTTACAACGATTAATTCACAGACAAGTTTATTTAATAAACAGTTTATTTCACCACAGATCACTTTTACAGACAAAGTAATTCTAGTCATTGTCGTTAAGGCAAAGTTTAGAATTTAAGTTGGTGCAATTGTCTGTGAATTAATCGTCTGTAAATAACCATGACTGTAAATTAATTGTCTATGAATTTACTTGTCTATTAAGTGATTGTTGGTGAAATAATGCAGGATTAGGTTCACTTATTTATTATGTATTATTGCTTTATTTTTAATTCAAAAAACACGCAACTATTTATTTATTTTATTTTATGCAACAGTAGGCACACTAACAAATTTTTTATTCTGTTTTATAATCCGATTATATGTGAATTTATAGAATTTAAAAAGCTTTAACCAATATGCTAGATGGCCTAAACATATTTTTATTTTCTTCCAATTTTTTAATTCGTCTCGCACCCGTGTACTACATGTTATAACTTTATGCGTAATCTAAATATCTCTTGTGTTAAAAATAAATCGAAGATAACAATATATAATATGACGATGGTAAGTGCAATTATAATTAGTAATAAAATGATAGAATGAAATAAAATAATTGTAGCGCAAATTATGATTTAATTCCACAAGAATAATGAAGTTTTAATTCTTCTGAAAATTAAATTGTATTATTAATAATGTAATAATTCTATTTCTAAAATTTTTAATTTTAAAACGTACTTATGAACGTTCCTGGTTTTAGCGCGGAGTTTTCTGTGTGATCGTCAATTTGTTATTTTACAGTAGTACGTGCTGTATTTTGTGTACAGTAGCCGTTTATGGAAAATCTATCATTATGACAGCATTTTCCATAGATGGCTAATATAATTGAAGGATTCATTACCTAATTAGTAATTATGAGTGCACAGTGCACATACCTACGTACAAAATGTGTGCAACTTATATAATAAACTCGTACAAGGCAATGTGGTTCGGAATAATTGCTAATACCGGGAGTTAAATATAAATATTTATATTAAGATGCATAGAAAGCGTTGGATTAGGATTAGTAATGAAACTTTAAAATCAAGGACATTAAATAAGTTCTTTGTTTAAATAAGAAAAAAAATAAAATAAAAAAAATAAAAAAAAAAATAAGTTCTTTGTAAAAGTTCTAACTCGGAGTAAATTCCGACATTGTTTATAGTTTCTATTATATTACCAAATATGGAAACCAGTTTACATTTTTATAATCTTAGATATAATGATAGATTATCATATATATAGAAATGTCGAAAGTTTTCTAACTCTGCATCATCCAAATTTGGTTTAAAAAAGATTTTTACTGAAACTATAAAATTTTTATTTTATAAAGGATATTCTATAGAACAGGTGGGCAATATAAAAAATAAACTCCGCCAATAATTAGTAATCATAATAAATATTTAACGGAGTTGTGGAGTTTGCGGAGTTTGCCCACCTATTCTATAGAACATCCTTTATAAAGACTAATACTTTCTAAGTTATTTGTTTGTTACAAACCATAAAATTCTCTTTATATACATATTTCTAAGAAAAAATATCGGATAAACAGCTTCATTAAATTTAACCGATTTGCCATCGTAACTTTTGAACACAAAGAATCATAAGTTTAATTTTGATTGATAGAGAGTTATGCGTCAAATAATAAAATAAAAAATTAGTTTGTCGTATATCGCAATTTTTATTTAAACGCTAAAAATTACCTTGCAAGCTTTTTTCTTAACTCAATCACTATATATCTTTCAATTACTGTGATCTTACTTTCTTTGAATAATACTTTATACTATTTCTATATTTTTATTTTTATTAATATTTCGACAGTAATATAATAAGCTGGACTTATTCTAATCAAACAATTTCTTCTAGAAAATTATTATGGAGCTGCGTGCATACATTATTCTGTTTATCATCATCACCATCATCTGTTCAATAGCCTCCGCAGTCCCTGTAATCCATAAAGTCCATAAGAAACATAGTGAAACAATGAACATGACTTCTACATTCTCGACTGTTAAAACGCCTTGTAAGAAATAATATTTCTCATCTTCTAACTATTTATAATGACCTTGAAGGATATTCTAATTTTTCTTTTTTTTCTGATTAGTTACAAATCCATATCCCTGCCCGCCCTATTGTCATAATTAGTGGTGGATGATTATTGACAAGGTTAAGTTGGTTTGGCTTTTACCAGTTGTCATAGATGTGACTTTCAACATCTTTCGTTCGAAAAATTTAAAATTAAACATCGTTCTTAGTTTATTGGAATCTAATTATCGTTCAAGAATAACAATCAAGAAATATTATTTATGTATTCGCATTTTATGAATTCGTTTATTTTTAGATGTAATTTATCAATAATTAAAATTTAATACTATATTTGTGCGGAATACAGGCTGACATAAATGATTTAGAAATTTTTGAGCTAGATCTTCAATTTGTTATATGTCAGTTAAAACATATTAAATTTTTTTAAATAAATTTAAAAGCCCGTTAAATATATGTATATTCAAGTAGAAAAGTTTGTTTACTAAACAGTTTAAAAGATACTGTATACAGTTAAATCTCGTTATAGTCGCTCTTGATATAGTTACAATATTGATATAATCACACTATTTTTAACTCAAGCTATTATGAAAGATACAAAATTTGACCTTTATATAGCCACAACTTTTATAATCACCAGATTCTTGTTTCTCAAGCTGGTGATTATATCGAGGTTTGACTGTACATTACTAAATTTTAAGTCAGTGTATGTGGATCACACATAGTAATATTGTTATAATTTCATAACAATAATTTAAAATTTACAAGGGTGTGGAGATACTTATCCAGGAACATGCTTTGGATGCACAAAGTTTCTTTTTTATACAACTTCTAAAACTTATTGTAACTGTAAAAAAATATTTCTAACAAAAAAAAAAAAATCA